TCCCCTGGTCCTGAGGGGTTCATCTGTCCTAGATTCCCTGCGTTTCCAATTCCCATCTGTACCGCTGTGCATCATTTGGTCTAACCAGGTCTGCAAGGCAGAATTGGGGTCCTGGTAGTTGGGGGGAGAAAGCGTTTAAGAACTAGAGGAAGGTTGTGGGTTTCGTAAATGCTGATTAATTGTATCTGGAGACTGAAAAACAATAATCCATAGTTGGACATTGCTCAGTTTACATTTTACATTTTGTTTATTTGTTTTACTGTGTCAGCAGTTCACTTATGATTATTGAAATGCACATTTTTCTGTCACATACTCAGGTCCCATGCCCTACAGGGGCTGATATTACTCAACTCCTGACCAACAGAGAGATTCCCAGCAGTGGTAAACAGTGGTACACTGACATAGTGCCTTGCAATCTTTTTACTCTCAATGATGAGGAAGACTGCTCTAAGGCCCTGGCTTGGATTAAAAACAGTTCCATCACTGCAGAAGGTAAGACTGTTGTTAGCTGTGCATCTTTTCAGAATAGCATTTTAAAAATAATGAGTCTCATTCTTCATCTAATTCAAGTACATAATTAGTGCCTAATTCATTCCAACAAAGCCATTCATCTGTCATGCTTTGTTTTCCAGATTAATTTGCAACTTGTTGTCATTTTTGGATAGCCAGCATTTTTGCTGGGGTAAAGAAAAAGGCTTGAGATGGTTTAATTATCTGTAATTATTTTATTACATAAAATGAATATCCAAAGAGCAAAATATAACTAAAATCATTAACTAATTAAAGAATAATGTAATAAGCGCACATGTTTAGCAATTGTATGGAAAAGATGTTTCCTTTTGTGAAGCTGGAAAGATCTCCGAAGGAAGGCAAAGGCCTGCAGCAGCAGTGCTCGGTTCTTCGTTCCGCAGTCGCTCTTGGTGTCGCCTGTGCAGACAAGTACACACCTTTGATCGCAAGCTACTCTTTGAATAAAGACGACTAAGTAATAAGAGGTCTTTTATACAAAGACCTCTGCCATTTGAAAGGGGGTTCTCACTCATCTTTTTAGTTACTGTTAAAATTTTGTTGAGATAGTTTGAATAGTAAAACAACCAGAATGAGACTTGGCTACATATTTGTCTTTAATTGAAATCTAGTCATATTTGGAAGATGACTAACTTAGTATTTTAATCATCACACAAAGAAAGCCAATGACTTGGTCAAATTACACAGCTACCATCTGGTAAAACGGGAATTCTAACCTAGCCCTTTGATTCTGTTCAGAGATGTAAAAATCACTAAGTGCCTAGAAAGGAAGAATCAGAAAGTGTAACCTTATAACGTTAATATTATTTAAAATATGAGGGGTACCCCCAACAAATGCAAAATCTTTTTTTTTAATTATGTATTTAAATTTTTTTTGCAAAACAACCTTAATACCTTCAAAGTACTCTCCATTACTCTTAATACATTTGTCAAATCTGTGATTCCATTCTTGGAAACATTTTTCAAACTCATCTGTTTGGATGGCTGACAGCACCACCCTCATTATTTTCTTCGCCTCTTCAACTTCCATCGTCAAATCACTGTCCTTTCATGTCCCTCTGCATTTGCAGAAACAAAAAGAAGTCACATGGAGCGAGGTCAGGTTAGTAAGTTGCATGGGGCAAGAGAGGCATGCTGTTTTGTTTCCCCAAAAGTTGCACATGGAGATGGCTGAGTGAGCAAGAGGTTGTCGTGGTGGCAAAAAAGGTCCCCTATCTGCCACAAATCAGGCCTTTTTTGTTGTACACTGTAATGCAATCTTTTCAGAACCTAAATAGAAAGCTTGATTAACAGTCTGTTCTGGTGGAGAACTCCAAATGCATGGTCCTTTTCACATCAATGAAGTATTTTCCCATTTTGGGGGGGGGGGTTACTCCTCATATTTGTTTAAACATGAGTTAATTGATATTGCTAATGTTTTAAAATTATTGTTTAGATTTTTGGTGAAAGACTTAGATATCAGATACATTTTTGAGATAGCCACTCAAAAGACTTAGGAATAAACCTACCCAAATGAACAAGACTTCTAAAGAAAACAAAGAACACTACTACAAGAAACCAAAAGAGACCTACATAAATGGAAAATATTCTATGTTTAAGGATAGGAAGACTTAACATTGTGAAAAGTGTTAAGAGTAACCCAAAACTCACTGCCATCAAATTGATGTAGACTCATAGCGACCCTGTAGGACAGTGTAGAAGTGGCTCATGGATTTCTGAGACTAACTCTTTAAGCAATATATAAATACAATGTAATTATGATCCAGATCCCAACTGCATAGTTTAAAGAAATAGAAAAACTAATTGCTAATTTTATATGGAGAGGGAAGAGACCTAGGATAAGAAAAGAACTTCTTAAGAAGAATAATGTAGGAGTCCACTCACTTCCTGACCTAAAAACCTATTTCACAGCCCAAGTAGTCAAAACAGCATGGTACTGATACAAGGATAGATGCATAGACCAATTGAACAGAATAGTGAATCCAGAAATAAATTCATCCACCTACAAAAAATTGTTCTTCAACAAATGATCAAAAAACATGAAATGAGAAAGAGATCATCATTTCAACAAATGCTGCTAGCAAAATTAGATCTCCGTCTGCAGAACAATAAAACAGGGGCATCCCATATACAAAAACTATTTAAGAGCTTGCTCCGGCAGCACATATACCAACCGTAATTTCAAGGTAGATCTTGAATGGACTTAAATGTAAATCGCAGAGCTATAAAGATCATCAAGAAAATCAAAACCAACTTAAGGAGGTTGCAGGGCATAGATGCAGTACCAAATACAATGAAAGAATAGAAGAGACGACAAAATGGATAACTGGAACCTACTGAGAATGACACTTAAGTGCAGCATAAGACTTCATTACAAGGATAAAAAGGAGCACAGATGGGGAAGAATTGGGGGGCAGCAACACAATGGAGAAGGGACAAATCTCCAAAGTCTGTAGGAAACGACAATACCTCAATAAGAAAAAGAAGAAGGCTCAAATAAAAAATTGGGCAAAGGACAAGAACAGACCAAAGATGGCAACCAAGTGGCCAACGCAGATATGAAAAAAATGCTCATGATCACTAGTCATCTGGGAGATGAAAATCAAAACAACGATGAAATTCCACTTTATACAGAAACTGACAGGTAAATTTAAAAAGAAATGCTGGAGAAGGTGCAGAGTGATTGGAATCCTCATACACTGCTGGTGGGACTGTAAATATGTACAACTATTGTAGAAAGCTATATGGCAATACCTCAAACAACCGGGGAAAGAAATTCCTTAAGATTCAACCAACCATCTGTTGGGTGTATACCCTAAAAGTAGACATCAAAGCACGAATAGACATACACACACCATGGTCACTGCAGCACTGTTCAAATAGCAAGGAGCCTGAAACAACCTAAAGACTCATCTGTCGAAGAATGGATGGAGAAACGGTGAGACAGACTTCCAGGACAAGACGGCAAACTAAAAACATACAGATAGGTCACTCTACAAAAACCAGGGCGGGATCGGCATGAAAGAAAGACGAGGTGGCCTGTGAGTTCAGAGGACATTTTGAAAGCTATGTAAATCAAAACCTCTACATCCCAGAGACTGTGAGAGGGACAGGCCCACTATTGAAGTGCCCAGTGCTTTCCCAGCAGCTATTGGAACCTCACTCTGGATTACTGGCCCGAGCTAGCCAGATCCACTCCTCACATGGTCCCATATCACAGGAGCAGGCCTGGTACGGTTCTATACAGCAGATCCCACCTGGCCAGCCCCTGACTTCCCCAGGAGTGCTTCTAGTGCAGCACCCACCTCACTGCAGCTCACCCACCCACTTGCTGGGTACAGCTACAGAACATCTGGCCAAGGAAAAATCCAAACAGACAGAACCTTCCTTTTTGTTTACTTCTTTTTTGTCACTGTAAAAGCTTTGCCCCCCAATTTTCTTTCCTTTCAAACAACCTTTTTCTTTTCATTTTCTTTCTCTTTTTTCACTTTCCTATTCATTCATTTAAGGCCAAAAACACATGAAAAATGCTCAAGATTACTAGTCACCCAGGAGATTTAAATAAAAGTAATTATGAGATGCCACCTTACACTGACAATGGCAGTCAAGTTAAAAACCAAACAAAAAACCATACAATGACAAATGCTGGAGAGGATTCTGAGAGATTGGAATCCTCATGCACTGCTTGGGGGACTTAAGTAGGTATGACCACTGTGGCAAGTGGTATGATGCTACCTCCAACAACTAGGAGTGGAAATACCATATAATCCAGCAATTCCTCTGCTATGCATCTGTCATAATGAAGTAAGAGTCGTAGTAGGAACAGACGTATGCACACTCATGTTCACTGTAGCACTTCTCACGAGAGAAAGAAGCAACTGCCCATCAGTAGAGGAGTAGATAAAGGAACTGTTTTGCATGCACACTGTGGACTCAGATGCATCCCTAAAAAACAATTATGAAACCATGAAGCACCTTGTGACATGGATGAGCCTGGAGAATATTATGCCCTGTGAAATTAGCCAATCATAACAGGATGGACGGGAATCCAGGATGGATGAGCCCTATAGGACCAGTGGTGTGAGTGGCAAAACAGGGAGGGTAAAGGGAGAATGGGTAGGGAAGAGGGAACCGATTACATGGAACTGTGTGTGACCTCCTCCCTGGGGGACAGACAACCGAAAAGTGGATGAAGGGAGACGTTGGACAGGGCAAGATATGACAAAATACCCATTTATAAACTATCAAGGGCTCATGTGGGAGGGGGGAGCGGGGAGGGAGGGGGAAAATGAGGACCTAATGTCGGGGGTTTAAATGGAGAGCAAATGTTTTGAGAAATGATGTACAAATATGCTTTACACAATTGATGTGTGTATGGATTGGGATAACAGTTGTATGAGCCCCTAATAAAATGTTTAATAAAAAACAAAAAACAGGATGGAATTATAGGAGATCACTATATTACCTTGGGCGAGGGAGCAAAACACAAGATGAAGACTTCCATACCAAAGACTTTCATGTGTACTATGGATATATTGCCAAAAGGGCGTGGGTTATGGAGGGAAGCACAATCGAGAGAGCAAATGGTTGATGGTTGACTTGTATGAGGTGGAAGAAGGTAATCCACAAAACTAGGAAGAGAAATCAAGGAGCGGGCGAAGGGTAGACTATAGCAGAATTTGATTAGTGTTTTAAACTGTTGAATGCAAAGTTGGTGATCTGAAATGTAAACTCTCACCTAATTTATAATAAAAAAATGTTGATTAAAAAGAAAGAAACATTGGCATACTTACAATGGAATACTGTACATTGTTAAAAACAACAACCCTCTCCCTCGCCAGTGATGAAACCACAAAGCACCTCATAGCATGGATCAACCTGGAAAAGGTTATGCAAAATGAAATTAGTCACTCACAAAAGAACAGCTATGTCAGAGTCAAAATGAACTTCAAGGTCACAAGTGG